CAGTATGGTTTTCGATCTGGAAGATCCTGTGTATCGAATTTACTCAATTTCTATGATCGAGCCACAGAGATTTTACCGATGGTTGGGTTGACTGCATCTAAATGGACCTAAAATAGGCTTTTGACAGAGTTCCACATAAGAGGTTGTTCTGGAAACTGGAAAATATTGGAGGGGTGACAGGTAAGCTTCTAACATAGATGAAAGAGTTTCTGACTGATAGAAAAATAAGGGCAGTAATCGGAGGCAATGTATCGGACTGGAGAAATGTCATAAGTGGAGTATCACAGGGTTCAGTTCTTGCCCCAGTGATGTTCATTGTCTACATAAATGATCTACCAGTTGGTATACAGAATTATATGAATATGTTTGCTGATGATGCTAAGATAATAGGAAAGATAAGAAACTTAGATGATTGTCATGCCCTTTAAGATGACCTGGACAAAATAAGTATATGGAGCACCACTTGGCAAATGGAATTTAATGTGAATAAATGCCATGTTATGGATGTGGAATAGGAGAACATAGACCCCACACAATCTATAAATTATGTGAAAATTCTTTAAAGAATTCTGATAAAGAAAGAGATTTAGGGGTGGTTCTAGATAGAAAACTATCACCTGAGGACCACATAAAGAATGTTGTGCGAGGAGCCTATGCCACACTTTCTAACTTCAGAATTGCTTTTAAATACATGGATGGCGAAATCTAAAGAAATTGTTCATGACTTTTGTTAGGCCAAAGCTAGAATATGCAGCGGTTGTGTGGTGCCCATATCTTAAGAAGCACATAAGCAAACTGGAAAAGGTGCAAAGACATGCTACTAAGTGACTCCCAAAACTGAAGGGCAAGAGCTACGAGGAGAGGTTAGAGGCATTAAATATGCCAAAACTAGAAGACAGAAGAAAAAGAGGTGATATGATCACTACGTATAAAATAGTAACAAGAATTGATAAAATCGATAGGGAAGATTTCCTGAGACCTGGAACTTCAAGAACAAGAGGTCATAGATGTAAACTAACTAAACAAAGATGCAGAAGAAATATAAGAAAATTCACTTTCGCAAACAGAGGGGTAGACGGTTGGAACAAGTTAAGTGAGAAGGTGACGGAGGCCAAAACCGTCAGTAACTTCAAAGCGTAATTTGACGAAGAGTGCTGGGTAGACGGGGACACCACGAGCATAGCTCTCATCCTCTAACTACACTTAGGTAATTACACTTAGGTAATTACAAGGTATTGAGTGATAGCACACAAAATGAGGTCAATGGGAATAATAGGTAAGGTAGGATGGTGGATATTCAATTTTCTGTCGAACAGAATAGAAAAAGTAAGTCAACCAAATAAAATCTAGTCCAAGTTCAGTTAAAAGCTCTGTACCTAAAAAGGCACAGTCATTGCACACTGCTTTTCCTTATTCTCATATCAGATATAGTCAAAAATACAAGTCACAGCTTCATATAATTTTTTACAGATGACACAAAAATCAGCATGAAAATTACCTCTGCTGAAGACATTGAAAAACTACAAGCTGATATTAATAAAGTTTTTGACTGGGCAGCAGAAAATAACATGATGTTAAACAGTGATAAATTCCAGGTACTCAGGTACGGTAAAATGAGGAGCAGCTTAAACAAAATACAGGGTACAAAACACAATTAAATCTGCCCATAGTAGGAAAGCAGCACATAAAGGATCTGGAATGATGTCTGACGACCTAACGTTTAGGGAACATAACCAAGCAAATATTGCGTCAGCCAGATAAATGATAAGATGGATTACGAGAACCTTCAAATCCGGGGATCCCATTACAATGGTTGTACTCTTCAAATAACTTGTGCTGTCCCATCTTAAGTACTGCTCAATACTCGTTTCACCCCTTCAGAGTGGGAGAGATTGCTGAAATAGAGGGAATACAGAGAACAGCAGTCTAGCAGTCCCCATGGTATAGTGGTTAAGACACTCGTCTGGCATTTCGTGAACACTTTGGCTTGGGTTCGTATCCTGGCTGGGGGAGGATTTACTGGGTGTCAATCCTTAACTGTCGCCTCTGTTTACCCAACAGTAAAATGGGTACCTGGTGATTAAACAATTTGGCGGGGTCATATTCCAGGGAACATAGGATTAAGGACTTGCCCGAAATGCTACTCGTGTTAGTGGCTGTACATGAATGTACATATTCTTGTATATATATATATAAAAAATAAAAACATATACATCATACATAGATGCAATAAAGTACCTAAATTACTGGGATCATCTCAAAGCTTTCCAAATGTACTCCCAAGAAAGGAGACAAGAGAGATATAAAATAATATACACATGAAAAATATTGGAAGGCCAGGTCCCAAATCAACACAGTAAAATAACATACTGGAATGAATTATATGGAAGAAAATGCAGAATAGAACCAGTGAAGAGCAGGGGTGCCATAGACACAATCTGAGAACACTGTCCACAGTTCTTCAACTTCCTCTCAGCGTATATAAAAAATATTACCAGAACAAACGAAGACATCTTCAAGAGAAAACTAAATAGTTTTCTTCAAGAAGTGCTGGACTAACCAGGCAGTGGTGGATATGTGGGCCTGTGGGCCACTCCAAGTAACAGCCTAACAGCCAAGTAATCCAGGTACATTCAGGTACCTTTAAAGCTATAAAAGTAGCCTATAGTTTCATTACTATATAGTTACTATAATAGCCTATAATACCCTAAAAAAAATTAAGCCTTCATTATTAAGTATCACTGTGGAAAACTATGCATCATTTGTTAAATTTTCTTATCCATTCACATATACTGTATTAGCTTACATTTCATATATTATTAGTACAGTGGTACTGTACCTCAATTTTCGTATTTAATCCATTCCCAGAGACGGTTCAAAACCCAAAAAATATGAAAACCAAAACGAATTTTCCCATAAGAAATGATGTAAATTGAATTAATCCGTTCCACACCCCCAAATATATTAACGAAAAAATACATTTTATTCAGACAGTGAGGGAATGGGGGTTGGGGAAGAGGAGAGGTGTTAGTGTTTAGAAGGGGAGTCCCCTTCCATTATAACAGCAGTGATGATATTTCTGGGGTACTCTCACATTTTGCAGGCATACCACTAGTAACCGGTTGTGGCTCACTGCTTGCTCGTCTTACTAAGAATCTGTCTATAGACACTTGTTTTTTCCCTACATTTTATCACTTCTCTGTAGTGAGACATCTTGAGGTTATCTTGAGATGATTTTAGGGCTTTAGTGTCCCCGCGGCCCGGTCCTCGACCAGGCCTCCACCCCTAGGAAGCAGCCCGTGACAGCTGACTAACACCCAGGTACCTATTTACTGCTAGGTAACAGGGGCATAGGGTGAAAGAAACTCTGCCCATTGTTTCTCGCCGGCGCCCGGGATCGAACCCGGGACCACAGGATCACAAGTCCAGTGTGCTGTCCGCTCGGCCAACCGGCTCCCCATCACATATGTCTCGTGGCACATCACATTGTCTCACTACGAATGATCTTTTGCTTTTCCTCTATCGTCATCCTCACAGCTATTTTCTTAAGTTGAACATTACCACTGACTTTCATGGGACCCATGGTGTGATATATAATAAGAACTTTTATGTTCAGAAACCAAAAAAGCCATGAAGTTCTTTACAAAGAATTCTAACGCAATCATCTTTAGGCAGGAGACATTGGTAAACTGAAGCGCCACGAGCTCGGTGGAACCGTATGTGTATAAACAAACTCCAAAAACTGAGACAAACAACAAGTACGGAATCTAATTTTTCAAAGAAATTGAGTACGAGAACCAAAAAATACGAAAACAGGCGCATACGAAAACCGAAATTTCACTCTACCTTATTACTAAAAAAAAAAAAAAATCATGTTATATTATGGCAGAAATGCTCCTTGTAAACAGTGGCTTTATAAAATACACAAATACAGTACAGTACTGTATTATACTATAATCTGATCTACTGTGTATCTTAGTGTGTGGTGGCAAGGCAATCGCTGCTCAGTTTACCAGTGCCTCGCGCCCAGTGACTATCCCACCTCAATTCTTCACCAGGATTTACAGTGTTTTGTTGGATATTTGGCCATTTGAACATAAAAGTTGTTATTATATATCTCACAATGGGTCCCAAGAAAGCCAGTGGTAAGGGTCAACCTAAGAAAATAGTTGTGAGTAGAGGATTTCCCTTCCTCATTAAGAAAATTTGTGAAGTATGGGAGGAACTGCAAAGTTTTGTTGAAAAAACTTGCCCAGATAAAGCTGTAGCAGGCCGTTGCATTGACCTTTTAAAGGATAATGTGATGTCTTACTACAGACAAGTGTTAAAATGTAGGGAAAAAAAGTGTCTTTAGACAGATTCTTAGTAAGACAAGCAAGCAGTGAACCACAAGCAGGTCCTAGTGAATCAGGCAAAACATGCCAGAGAGTGCACACCAGAGAAGTCCTCACTGCCTGATGTTATAATGGAAGGGGACTCCCCTTCCAAACAGTAACACCTCTCCTCCTCCCCCCTCCTCCTCACTATCTTTCATATGCCAATAGCAGTCATCAGCAAGGTAAGTAATAACTTGAACATAGTTTTGTAGTGTAGATTTCGATGAATTAGGTATAAAATTTAGTTTGAAGTGAGGTTTTTGGGTGGTCAGGAATGGATTAATTCATTTCCCATTATTTCTTATGGGGAAATTAGCTTCGGTTTACGAATTTTCAGGTTACAAGCCGTCTCCAGGAACGGATTAAACTCTTAAACCGAGGTACCCCTGTACAGTATAATTTTATTCAGGCATTGGAATATTTGTTTACGTTTTACCACATTATTACCTTGCTGTGAACATGGAAAGAAGAATGGAATCATTCTTCAAGGAAGACTGCTCTTCAAAGAAGAGCAGTCTTAGCATAGAAATACTGTATTAATAGTTCTATGCAATGCAGACAGCTATATTATAAATGTCAGCCGAGAAATCTTTATTATGAGGCAGGAGGAAAAAAATTAAGATCTTTCTTTTGACAATCCTTTTAATTCTTTCAAAATAGAGCTACCATGTATGATCAAAGCTATCAATTTAATACTTACATTCAGTAGAATAAGTGGAAATATTAAAAAAAAAAAAAAATTAAGGACAGTAAGTCTTGTTGCTGTACTTTTATTTGATACTCTGTCTCACAGGGAAATACAACAAGGAAGAAACCTGACAAAACATCAACTTTGGTTCTTGAGTATGCACACGTGTAGGTTTGTGTCTCAGTTCTGGCCACTTGGGTTTTATGTTGAATTTACAGTAGTTAGTAATGCAAAGCAGATCTATACCTTTCATCTTGTGTACACTCAAAATACACTAACAATTAGCCTATGTAAATACAATATGGTTTATGAGGATACCCTGGACAAAGAGGAGGCCACACCTGGTGGCCTAGTTAGAGACCAGGCTGCCGGGACATTGATCCCCAGAATCGACGCAAGGTAATCCATTTAGTCACATTCCATACACAGAACTTGATGCAAGTTTTCTAATAAATCAAGAGCTTAAATAATTTTGTTAAATAAACTGTCTTAACAAAACCGCAAACATTTCATTTACACCTTATAGCTTCATTTTATTCAGAGGTCAGAGCTTAGACACTTGCCTACACAAACCACTTTTCTGATCACATTACACGTGCAATTTAATCTTATACAGGAACCATACAATGAAAGAGAAGTTGCACTGTAGTTATCTTCAGCATCTTAATGAACAGCAACTAGATTTGGGGTAAGGTACAAGTGGATGCAAGATTAATTTAATGAGAGGCACTGCACAGTGAAATATGTGGGTAAGCACCAAACCCCAATGCTTATTTATAGAAAAATTATATTGTGCAACTCTTTATGAAACATAGAAATTGAAGCATGGAATTAGATCAAAATACTGTACTACAGATTAAAAAGTTCCCAAAAAATGCTGAAACTGCACTTATCCCACAAAACCCCTTCTTTCCTGTTCCACCTCTACTTGAAATTGAGATGAAGAGGCATAAATAGCACTGATGGTGGTGGGCGGTGTTCTCTTTAGCAATGTACCGTAGTAAAGAAAATTACAGCTCGAGTGATGACGCTCTACAATTTCAAAGCAGCCTGTGCTTGGCGGAAGATTATAGCAATCCCGCAGACAACAATTCCTGGCAAAAGTAACAAAAAAAAATACAGACTTTGACAATAGCAGTCATAAAGCGTCATCAGATAACACAACAGTGGTAATCACAGGAAGATACTCAGAATTATGCAGCACACGTGATGGCTTACCAAAATAGAAAATTATTTTACGAGTGTTCATTATGCCAGCATTATCAGATGTGATTGTTTTTACAGACAATTTCATATTCAGGACACACAAGTGGCAATTGAGGATCACATTTATACAGTGTGTTGCAAACTATACATGGAGGTTTTCCTAGCTTAATTCCACTTGTATTTCTCCAGAAATTCAGACTAATTTTGTTTCTCAAAACAATGAAAAAAAATGCTGGTCATCTTTGCATAGTTTGAGCTATGGATAGTATAGTCAGAGTGAGATTTAACATACACAGCAAATATATAAAATACTGACTTAAAAGATAAGACCTGTACCAGGAACTGTTAAAAGTTCTATATTATGCTCATTTAGTCTTGCATTGAATCCACAGCCTGAAAACCCATGCAGAATGGTCAGCAACTTGAGTCCATTGTCAAACATTGTTATTATATTTAATTTATGATTAAAATAGGTGTTATACCATTTTAATATCTCAAACAATGGCACAAAATTGATGATCATGAGACATATTTTGTGCACACAATAATAAAGGATGTCTGAAATGTCTCCATTTAAATCAAGGGAGTAAATCGGAAAAATCAGAGGTACCCATACTTTGTTAGCACTCTTAATAATGGAAAGTGGTGAGAATGTAGCAGAAACGAGGCAAGTTATACACCGTGGGCGAGAGGAAGATATTCGTCATTACACCACCCTAGAGAAGAACTGATGTATCAACATCATTCTTGATTACTTTCATCTTTTACCACCCATGAAGCATGGTAGCAAAGTGCCCCATTGGAAGAAGGTAAGGTATTCCTTGGCAAAAAAGGCAAATTGCCCTATTGCAGGAAGGCAAATTGCTATACTGCAAGAAGGCAAATTGCCAAATTGCAAGACGGTAAAGTGCCCCACTGCTACCCCAAAAGTGTTTCAGGGGAAAATAGGGAGTCTTTGTAAGAAAAAAAATCCTCATGACACTTTGGCACAAAGATGAAGAACAGTTGTTGAATACACACTGATTGCAAAGGCAGGGGAAAACTTTACCACATTCATATCAAGAAGCGTAGCTTTCTGGCAGCCCCCATATCCAGGATACTTCTGACTCGGTAGTCAGATATGCTATAGCCACTTAGGCAATTTTAACCAGCTTATTTTTTAACAATTTGGTACTTCACTAAAACTTACCTAAATGTAAATGTTCTTAATACCTCTTCATTATCCACAAGGTCACAAGTACACTAGACAAAGGAGAAGGTAATGATTATTAGGAGATTGACATTTTATTTCTAAACTGCAGTTTATGGGGCAAACAAATTTGTTTAAGTTAAGCCTCTATTTTTCTGGAAATTGAGTTCTGTCAATTACCTTCTCCTTAAATGTATTTACAATTTTAAAAAATCATTACCAGCCCTTGGATAATCTTACTAAATCTTTCAAACTAAATAAAAATTATACTAATGATCACCAATTTGTCAGGAGTTTTCCATGGAATATGGGAAAATCAAACACCTGCCAGTATTAACATGCAATTGACAAAATGTAAATAAAAATAGAAATGGAATACACGTAACTGGTATGTAGAATGACTCGGAACATTCGACAGAATAAAGCCAACTCTCCACTAATTAAGTACAATTGGGATCGTTGAAAAATTACAAACCCTATGTGTTGCTACACCTTTGTTCTTACTTATTCCGACTCTGACAGGTGAGCACCAGACAAGGAAATCTTTGTGCAGGTAACATGCAGTACATACAGGATAGCTAAGCAGGAGTAAACATCCTCCTGCCCAGTACAATTGTTCATTCCACACAACCCACAAACCCCACATAGGCCCAGCTTCATTACAAAAGTTACATCCCTTAAAACTTTCAGCCCCATATCTATCTAACACTATAAAACAAATACAGCCCTTTAGTTGCTGTCTTTAGCAGGTTCATTGCCAATCAGCCTAACACGAATGTGACATAGGGCTAGAGGTCGGCATTTTAATACAGCGAGGCGATGGTGTGATTCACACCGTAAGCCTAGTCCTTATAACCCTCCAGGGGCTAGTTAAGGATAAGGACAAGATAAGGTGAGATAGGGACACTTCAAAGCTAAGTGAAGCTGGGAGTGTGGGAACAGAATCTGACCTATAAAACAAGAGAATCTTGTGTGGGTTGGGAAGGGGCTGATGCAAAGGGGTTCAGAGACGTAGAGAGAGAGAGAGAGAGAGAGAGAGAGAGCGGAATGCTTGGGAAGGTAAGAGGAATAAAGGGCTTTAGGGAGACTGTGGACAGTTTAAAGAAGGATATTAATGTTAAGGTATGTTAGAGACTGGGAGTTTATTATGGCAAAAAGTAGTAATTACAAGGTTAAGGTTGTCAGATATTTAGACAGGTTAGATGAGGTAAGGTTAGATTCAGAGAGGTCACTGAGATGATTGAGGGTCACACTGCAGCAGGCGTACGATGGATGGGTCACTCTTAGCCCCTTCGATGAATTCTTCAAGACTTAGCTTGCCATCCTTATTCTTATCCATCTGACGAAAGATTTTGTCTGTACGTTTTTCAGGGGTACTTTCATCTTCTGGCATCTTCATCACAGAGCCAACCATCTTGTAAATTGCCTGTAATAAAAATCAATTTTTGATAAGCAAAAATTGCTCTGTATTATACAAAAATTATGATCATTGCATATTAAAAATCACAATAACATGATGAAATTATGAATAAACATCAAGGCTGTAAAATGGAATTGAACCCGTGTAATAAGTGTAGTTACAGGATGAGTGCTACACTTATGGTGTCCTGTCTTCCAAGCTCTCTGTCATAGAACACTTTGAAACTATTGACAGTTTTAGCCTCAACCATCATCTCACTTATTCTAACCATCTACCACTGTTTGCTAAATTTTTCTTATATTTCTTTGGCAGCTTTGTTTAGTTAGCTTGAATCTATGATCACTTATTCTTGAGGTTGCCAGCTGCAGGAATTCCTCTTTGTCAATTTGGTTGATTCCTGTTATTATTTTGCAAGTGGTGATCATATCACCTCTTTTTCTTTTATCTTCTAGCTTTGACATATATAACACCTCTAGCCTATTCTTTAAGTCTTGTTTTACAGTTCCAGTTCCAGAAGCCATTTTGTAGCATGCCTTTGCATCTTTTCCAGTTTACCAATGTGCTTCTTCAGATATGGACACCATACAATGGCTGCATATTCCAATTTAGGTCTCACAAGAGTCATGAATACTTTTGGTATTTCATCATCCATGTAATTAAAAGCGATTCTGAAGTTGGAAAGCGATGCATATGCTCCTTGCACAATATTCTTTGTGTGTTCCTCTGGCGACTGATTACTATTCAAAACAACCCCCTAGATCTCGTTCTTTGTTAGAGTTCTTTAATTCTTTTCCATGCAATTTGTAAATTGTGTGAGGTCTATTTTCTGTCGGTCCTGGTCGTTGAACCGGGTGCTCTCTTTTCTCTCTCTTCTCCTCAGTTTGTGATGGCCCCTCCGGTTCAGGATCATTTTACTAGGGCTCTTTTTTTATTGGCATTGGCCCCTGGGGGTCGGGTCGAGGAGCTTCATCCTCTCCTCCGGCGCAGGGGTTTCTGCTCTTTCGGTCCTGGTGGTCGGTTTGTTCGTTTGCAGTCGTATCCTCCTTTTCTGGCAAAGAATGAGACTGCTGCTTTCTGAAGGGTCCTTGGGTTATTGATGCTTGGTTGGTTCGGCCGGAGATGCATCATGTCTTGTGTTCAGTTACGGCTCTTTGCCGTAACTAAAACTTGTGGGCTTCAGCAACTGGGGACGCACTTTGGGTGGACCTGGTATCCCTTCTTTCCTGTTCTAGGGCGCGGGTCTCCCAAGTCGTCCACAGGTTATTCGGTCCAGCCACCCTGCAGTCTATCCCCATGCTCACAACATTCATAAGTTCACGGCTTTGGCTGCTGTTTTTGGTAACATGTCCTGGGCCGACATTCGGGCGCAGGGTTTTTGGTAGTCAAACAGGGTCCTGGCTGCATGGTATATTGTTAATGATCCTGGCCCCTACCCAGGCATGTGTAGCCTTGGGTCGCAGGTTGCACCCAGTTGTCTCTACTTCAAGTTGAGGAACGAATAACGACTGCCTCCTGAGCAAGTCCCTTTTTTTCTTATCTTTGTTTAGGTAGCTCCGGGGAGCTGGAGGGGCTCTCCACAGAAAACCAGCGTTGAATGTAATGAAATGCCATTTTCTGGGTGAGTTCCCTGGCAACCCTCCCTCTCTTTTTATGAAGTATACCAAATTTGAACTTGAATTTTGTGGGTCTTACATTTTGACATAATGTGTACAATAACATCAAACTAAAAATATATATCTAAGATTAATAATACTGCAGTCAGTAATAATACAGAAATTACAAAGTCTCAGTAAATGTAACAAAAGGCTAGTTATAATAATAACAAAATGTAATTCATTAGGCATTACTATTAATGTCAGTATTTTGATCTTCGTAGCCTTAAGTCTAATCCAAAATGCTGAGCAAAATTAGGTGCTTTATACAAATGAAATATTATAAAACAAACAAATGAACCCTGTGGCATTATCATGTATACTCTTTATTTATAACTTATGCTTCTGTCTTTATAAAGATGCTTCTATAATTCAGTGTTCAAGGTTTACCTATTTGCACGTTAACAAATACTGTACAATCATCAGCAGAAAATATTTGTTTTCCCCATTCAAAATCCATTTTGTTGGATTTCATGTTGGATTAAATCTGAGATAATTAACAAACAAGCTTCTTACTGTAACGATCTCCAGCATCTCCTGTCGACTGATGTATCCATTTCCATCGAGGTCATACATTGAGAAGGCCCACCTCAACTTCTGTTCCAGCTTTCCTCTTGATGTGACAGAAAGGGCACATAAGAACTCTCGAAAGTCTATGGTGCCGTCCCCATTTGCATCGAAGGTCCGGAACACATGCTCCGCAAACTGCTTGGGAAGGTAAGTGATGAAGAGTTGCACATAAAACTGTCAAACCTCGTTTGCTTGGCCCCTTTGTGGCTCTCGTCTCTTTTTTCGATAAAAACTAACTAAAATTCACTTAATTTTCATAAAAAATGCATGTGATATATCAACAGCTAAATTATTTTGTGTGTTGTAAGGACAACCTTTTCATATAATTGCAGTTTAGTATTTGGTTTCATGCTAGTCACTCTTTCAAAGTTAATTTAAAAAAAAAACTGAGGGGTTAAAGGAACGAGGTTTGACTTTCGAGTACAGTATAAGGCGTCACAGAGCCAGGAAATGAGAGCATAGGTTAAAGCATCAAAGCCATACCAGCATCATGACAGTTTTAATTATGGTCATGAAACTTGACAAATCAACTCTAACCCTACAAAAGTCTTGCTTTGCCACGTTACCGAGTAATTTAGAATACAGGAAATGTCAACATTTTTGGTACTGTATATGAAATCAATCCTCCCATTTTAGCAAGCAAATAATGAACTCATCATTTAGAATATTTATAAAGTACCTTCAGTGTTATAAATTAAAAAAAATGTGACTATGAAAGAAGATTAGGCAAAGCAAGAACCTTAGTCAGTTTAACATAAAACATACCTACAGATTATTTGTGCCTAATGCAACTCAAACACTGCTACACCTGTACCTTCATGATCCATAATAAAGATTTTAGTGTTTATTCCCAGCCACATTGGAGTTACCTCGAATGAATTTTTCAAGTGCCGCCACCAAGGAAGCCATTCATGCTTGCACCATTTCTCGGAAATGGCTCCTTATTCAGATTTCTATCCAGTCATTCATTATGCAATCCACTACTGTTGGCAGGATCACTGGGCTGGTATTACAGGTAATTAACTGTATGCTCCTAAATTATCCCCATTGGCCTTCTTTCTACCACTGTAAAAGGCAATAAACAGTTTTGGCCATGTTGCGTATCAGTCACACCCATTTAGCACATGGTTATCTTCTTGAGGTTATCTTGAGATGATTTCAGTGCTTTAGCGTCCCCACGGCCCGGTCCTCGACCAGGCCTCCTTTTTGTTTCACACCCCCCGGGAAGCAGCCCATAGCAGCTGTCTAACTCCCAGATACCTATTTACTGCTAGGTAACAGGGGCATCAGGGTGAAAGAAACATTTTGCCCATTTGTCTCCGCTTCCACCAGGGATCGAACCCGGAATCTCAGGACTACGAATCCGAAGCACTGTCCACTCAGCTGTAAGATGCCCTGTAAGGCACGGTCACTTAATGAAACATCCTCCTACACTGTTTTGTCTAAACTTCATTGTCTAATTTACAGTCGTGTACCTTCTGGTAGAGTGCCCAATTTTCTTGATGCTCTTGTCTTGTTTTCCTAATCTCCCTAGGAGTCATTTGTTCCTTGATAGGATCCTTGGTGAATCTGACACCTTTGATATTGCTTACCTTTTGTTGTTCTGTTCTGTTCTTGTGGCATCTAGAGTGAAATTTAGTGCCTATTGCATGTCTAGATGTCTAGTGCCTTATGAATAACTAGCAACACAATGCTATGCTACATAGTCTACCTAGCTTTGCATCTTCTTTAGATAATTACCTATTTCACCAACAACAATACAATTTTTGTAAACGAAAATGTACCCATTTGTGATCATTAAAAATTAACAACTTAATTTATGTCTGTTCACACACCTTGAGACAACTCATGTGACTCACAACACTGAACAGTGTATATTACAATAGCAGGGTTATTTAGAACAATCTTACGAATAGAGAATACAGTTGTTAATAAAGCATACTTGAATTAATACACAATGTGAACGTATGAAAAACATGTACAGTGTGTACACAAAAAGCAATATTTTTAAGTGGCAATGACCATAACTAAATAGAAGTTACATTTTTTTTATAGAGGATGTATAGCACTGATTAATGAGGAATACTTAAATAACATCTAGCCTATTATACAGATGAAAATCATGTTGTGGACATATTACTAATGTTGTGGATGGCTTGCTAGTGTTGTGGTGCTATTGTGGATGTTTTGTGTTGGAAATGATGCTACCAGCGATGAAAGGTTGGATATTACTGAGTATATTTAACTATTTTTCTACAACACTGCTATGCTGAACAAGTAAGCGCCCATTCCAACCTCAAGTAAGTGCCAAGCTGTAGCAACAGTGATGTTAACCTGTACAGATGGGTTCATTCTCGGCTCACAATTGGGAATTCCAGGTTCGAATCCTGGATGGGACAGAAGCGGTTGGGCACATTTCCTATCACCTATTGCCTCTGTTCACCTAGCAGTAAACAGGTAACCAGGAGTTAGTCAGCTTGTTGTGAAGTTTTATCCTGGGTTGCATAGCAAACAGGTCAGTAGTTCGACCTGGGGTGGGGGGGGTTCATCTTGAGGTTATCTTGAGATGATTTCAGGGCTTTTTAGTGTCCCCGCGGCCCGGTCCTCGACCAGGCCTCCACCCCCAGGAAGCAGCCCGTGACAGCTGACTAACACCCAGGTACGTATTTTACTGCTAGGTAACAGGGGCATAGGGTGAAAGAAACTCTGCCCATTGTTTCTCGCCGGTGCCTGGGATCGAACCCAGGACCACAGGATCACAAGTCCAGCGTGCTATCCGCTCGGCCGACCGGGTTGGAAGGACCTTGATATAAGCCTGTTGTATATATACACATACACACACTGCCTGTCCCAGACAAAGTGAATTATTATTATTATTATTATTATTATTATTATTATGATTATTATTAAATCATGGACATAACTTGAGCATACCGTGCTTAAAATACTATGCATGTCATGTGGCTTTGCAAGAGTGTACCATTGCTTCACAATAATATGTACATTCACAACCTATTGAACCTTTTTGTATAGAATAGTATAATAATTGCCTCTTCCTAAATTAAATTTTCCAACAAATTTTTACATTATCAATACTAGAGGGAATTTTTAATTGCCCATGAGACTGTAATTTGTATAAAGTTCATGATATGCATCAGCAACAGACAACACCTCCTGCTATCTTAGAAGTGGGAAATAATGATAAAATATGGATGGTGCAAGAGAGTGGATAATCAAGGCACTGGTGTAGTTAAAGAGTAGCAATTGCACACAAAAAAGTGTCATATGTAACATCAACAAGACAATGAGCAGTGTTGTAAGTACTGTACCATAAAGAACACTTGTCTACAATGACAGTAACCATGCAGTCACTAATAAGAAGGGTGCTACAGGTTCGTTTAATTTTGTAGTGCTTCACTTCTACTGATTATTCAACTAGTAGATGTCAAGAACTGAAATTAAAATGTAGTCTGGCCACACAATCCCTATGACTTAAAAAAACAAAAACAGCATTGAATGTAATGAAACACCAATTTCTGGATGAGCCCCAGAGGCTTCCTGAAGCTATTATTACTGATTCAGTGCTATACTACTAGGCACCATCAGTCGCAGAGTTCTCATTGGCCTACCGGGGGACCACGAGCCAGAACCTGGTCCCCTCAGAGAGGTGCCCAGTTCTCTTTTTCCATGCCAGGGAAAGCTTTTCCACTAAGCTCAGTCCCTAGGGTACTGTGCTTGCTCCAGTACTGTTTCTCGTCCTCATATTGGACAGAAAAGGATACATATCATCCTTTGCAGACGACACTAGGATTTTTATGAGAGAATGAGAGTAAATAACAAAGGGGACAGCAAACCTCGAATCTGATGTAAATCAAGTCTTTCAGTGGACCACAGAAAATAGTATGATGTTTAATGAAGATAAGTTCCAGCTCCTGTGCTATGGAAATGACAAAAATCTAAAAAATGGAAACCACATATTTTATTTCACACAGTGAAATTATACTATAGAATGAAAAAGCAATGATAAGGATCTGGGAGTAATCATGTTGGAAGACCTTACCTATAAAGAACACAATAAAGTAGCTGTCACAACAGCAAGAAAAATGACAGGTTGAAAAACAAGAACCTTTCAAATGAGGGATGCCATAACAATGATGAAACTTTTCAAGACATTAGTGCTCTATAGCGTGGAATATTGTTGCACAATAACAGCTTCATTCAAAGCTGGCAAAATTGCTGACCAAAAGAGCATGCAAAGACACTTTACTACCAGAATCCACTCAATAAAACACCTAATTTATTGGGACCGATTAAAATGTTAAAATCTGTATTTCTAGAGGGCATATAGGAGAGATGCGTAATAATTTACACTTGGAAAATATTAGATTTTCAATCTAATATCACATACAATAAATATACACAAGTATATATATATATGTATATATATATAAGTATATATATATATGTATATATATATAAGTATATATATATATATACTTGTGTATATTTATTGTATATGATTACCTGTAGATAGTATTTAAGTACTATCTTGAGATGATTTTGGGGCTTAGTGTCCCCGCAGCCCAGTCCTCAACCAGGCCTCCACCCCCAGGAAGCAGGCCGTGACAACTGACTAACTCCCAGGTACCTATTTACTGCTAGGTAACAGGGGCAACAGGGTGAAAGAAATTCTGCCCATTGTTTCTCACCAGCGCCCGGGATCGAACCCGGGACAACAGGATCACGAGCCCAGTGTTCTGTCCGCTCAGCCACCGGCTCTCTTAAGCCTCCCCAGCTTAAGTACTATGTCTAGTACTTAACTGACAGTTTATCTAGTGTTGTTTAACCCCTCCCCCTTTGGTTGTATATTACTGCTCTGTTTTGATAACTTCACCCTGATTTGGGGTTGGATCTGTCACGAAGGAGGCACTAGGGCCACACACACAGAGAGAAAGACAGAGAGAGAGAGAGAGACAGACAGAGAGAGACAGAGAGAGAGAGAGAGACAGACAGAGAGAGAGAGAGAGAGAGAGACAGAGAGAGAGAGACAGACAGACACTAGAACTAGAGTTACTGGCTAAGAGAGGCCGTAACAAGAGGACTGTTGACAAAGGTTCAGAAAGAAAATTGATATCAAAATTAAATCATGAGAAGTTAGATGCTCTAAACAGAGGAATAGGTATCTTACTGTATGATGTAAAATAACACAGTGACCAATGCAATACTGCATTATTGCTGTTTCATAGATTGCTGAGTAAGATGTTCTATGACTGACTGGATTCCTCCCTGTCCAGAGAACAATAGTTACATCTAATACATAACTAACCAATGTAAATGAGTACAAATATTATGGATGTGTTTTATCGATGATGATATGAATCCTCAATGAACACACTGTTTAACTAGCCATGAGCTAACTTTATCCATAAATTCTATATAGTAGAATGAAATGTTTTCTCATCCTTTTCTAAAAGATGTACCTTTGATGCGTCGCCATATGGAAAGAAGTTCCCATATATCTTCTTGAATTCTTCAACTGAAAGGTGGCCTGTTGGACAATCTTTAAGGAAACCTTTGTACCATTCTTGGATCTCAGCGTCTGTAAATATAAAGACATTTATAATATAAGTTAGGTTATAGAGTACATTATAGATTAATATTTGTAGTTGTATGCAAATGAGGAGAGAAATGAAGGAGACAGTATTACAAGGACAAATGTGATTAGAGAAATGGGGGAAGTGTGAAGTGGTTGGGATTTGGTTTGGTGCTTATCTATCAGTGACTATGGGAATAAATATCTAGGCCCATCATTTATACCTGGCATATTAATTACCTAATGCAAATCCGGCTTCCACTTGTACCTTTGTCTTACCTCTTTTTAATACTGTATATATATATGCTTCCTTTATCCACTTTCTCTATTTCCTTCAAGATCGTGTACATAATTTTCATATCCTTTGTTTCTTTTCTCCTCCAATGTTGTAAGGCTGAGTTCTCTCAACCTGTCCTCATAGCTGAGGCATCTCCATTCTGATACTAAGCTAGTTGTAAACCTCTGAACTTTCTCAAGTTTTTGTTTAGGCTTCACAAGGTGTGGGTTCCTGACTGGAACTGCATATTCAAGTCTCACATAGGCAGTATGTAGGGATTTGAAAGCCTCTTTGTTTAAATTCTTGAATGACATTTTCATGTTTGCATATTCCTCATATACTGTTGATGTTATCCTGTGCATATGAGCTTTTGGTGTCAAGTGTTGGGATTATGTGTACTCCCAGGTATTTTTTTAATGTTTCCTGTAATTCCCTTCCCTCATGGTATAATTAAAACAAGTCTCCCTTATCCATTTTCATTACTTTGCTCTTCTTTGGATTGAATTCCATCAGCCATTTATCTGCCCACTCCTGAAGTTTGATAGGGTCTCCTTGCAGCACCCTACAAGTACCCTACACTCTTCAGGGTACTTTCCTCATTAACGTTGCATCACCTGCAAACATCGACATGTACAAGCTCACACCTTCTGCAAGGTCATTTACACAAATTAAAAACAGCCTTTGGTATCCCCTAAATTGGCCTAAGAGCTCAAGAAAAACAAGTAATGTTGTCTACCTAGACACTAAAAGCATGTAAACAAGGTGTCTGTGCCACTCATTACCTCCTTAGAATTTGTACATTTATAGAATATCCATATTATGACTAGTACCTTACCTTGCGATGATTTCGGGGCTTAGCATCCCCGCGGCCCAGTCCTCGACCAAGCCTCCTAGGCAAGTTACCAGGCAAAGTAACTTGCATTTAATTAAGCATTGTCTGGCAGATATGCGAGACACTAAGATAGTTACCATGGAGTAAGCACTATCCCACCAATTCCTCACCTGTGAACTCTGTATTGGAACGAAGATCTTCCAACACTTCTGGTTTGAGTTTGCTGTTCTGCTTGCCCATGGTTGTATGTTCTTGAGAACTTGACTACTATCTCACCTAATGTTCTTTTACACCTTGCAAACTTTTGCTAGCCACACACACCTGAAAGGTACAAGTTACAAATTATACAGTAATATACATATTAACCCATCAGCTGCTCCATTAAAAGAACTTAGTTTAATCTTACAATCCTGGATTTTCCAAACTTCTTAAATAAAAATTATGTATGAAAGGATTATACAAAAGTAATTCACCACGTATAAAAACAATATAGTACAATCAATTTATACCTCGAAAAAACAAGCGTTGAATGTAATGAAACAACATTTAGGCTTCCCAGGGCTATCGAGCTGATGTGTGATACATTAGACCGGGGCATTAGCTATGAAGTTCGACCTACCAGAGACCACAAGCCAGAACCTGGCACCTTCAGAGAGGTTGCAGGGAGCAATGACCCTGGAAAACCCCACTGTGGTTGGGGGTTTTGCTTATCTGCCATCGGATAGGGTTAGGCACCCAGAAAGATAGGCATAACAAAACAAACCCCACATGATAAGAAACTAAGAATTAAACACCGAACAGAGAGGTAGAACTCCCTCTAATCCAAAGGAAACAAGCAAACGTCACACTCCACTGCCGCACCGCTTGTTTACGCAGCCCTCCCAGCACCACTACTCAGTCATCCAGTTCGGAAGCTAAGTATCAAACAACACAAAAAAACTGCTGACTGGAGGGAGGGAGGGTTGCCAGGGACCCTCCGGACAAACCCAGCAATCGCGAGAGAGGTGGAAGGGGTGTCCCAAAAGGAACCAGAACAGACGCTGAAGCCAAATCCGATCCAGTGGGTAGACCAGCACGGTGAAGTTCAGACTCCTGCACAACTGTTGAGCAACCTCCAAGAGACCCGGGACCCCCAGAAACAACCAAAGGCAGCACCGCAGCCGCAGCAATGCCTCCGGAAGGAGAGACATGGAAGCAGTTCACGAGTCCCAAACAAGACCTAGCCAGGTCTGTACCTGGGACGGAACCAGATGGGCCTTCACCCACCAGGAACCCAAACCTGGCCAGCTGGGAAAGAGCCACATCCATGGCAACCAGACAAGCAGACCGACTGGGAGCCCACACTAGCTAGTTAACGAGGTAGGCCAGAACCCGAACCCCTAGCAGACACAGACAGGTCACCACGACCTGTCGCGTGAAAATGCCAGGTGGCAGATTCGAGCCAAAAGGAAGGCAACGAAAACGGTAAGCTAGATGCCCTACCACGAAATCCTATCAGTCCCTGAACCCCGTATGAATAGGAACATGCCAGTATGCGTCCTTGAGATCCAGGGACACCATCCAAGCACCAGGCTCCAAAAGAAGCCGAACCTGAGACAGAGTGGTCATCCAAAAGAAGGGGGCAAGAAATCCAGGGATTCAGATGGGACAAGCCAATAATGAACCGCAGATCCGCACAGTCTCGTTTTGGCACTGGAAACAGGAGGGAAACCCACCTGAGGGACAGGGTCGTTTCGACCACGCCCAACCGCACCCACTCCGAGATGACCCAACGAAGTGCAGGGGAAGAAACTGTATGACAGCCGCCTCTGCAAACAGCAATGGACAAAACAGTGATGAAAACCTAAGAGCCAGGGCCCAAGGAGATTCCAAAGAGAGAGCGAGCAGAGCCTGATAGCAAGTGAGACAAGAAGCAAAGAACAGAGACACTGCTTCCTTCAGGATAGCTTCAACAGCATGGCCAACGCCCGAGCCGCCAAGGCCAGCACATCCAACGATGGCCCGGCACTCAACGTCTCCACATCCTCCTCATGCCAGGCCAAAGACAGCTCGAAAAGGGGAAAAGAAGCGCAAGATCGAAGCCAAATGCTAAATGCCTCTGTACTCACAGAGCATTTAGGGAACGATGCCCCTTATGTGCATGCAGCCCCGGTACTCTTGAGGACACCAGGCCACCACACACGACATCACAGAGGACACCACGAAGGTAAGCACTGCTTGGAAAGCAAGATAAGAGAAGACGTTCGCCTCAGTTCGCATTAGCTGATGAACTGGAATGGCTGGGGAGAGGGGCTGCGAGGACGAGTGACACGGCGATAGAGAGTGACGTTTGCTTGTATTCTTGGAATTGGAGGAAGTTCTGCCTCTGTTAGGTTTTCGGTTGCAATTTTCATCCCCATGTAGGGTTTGTATTGTTATGCCTACCTTTCTGGGTGCCTAGCCCTAGTCATTGGCAGATAAGGAAACCCCAACCACAGGGGGAGGTTTTCCAGGGCCATTGCTCCCTGTGCCTCTCTGTGGAGGTCAGGTTCTGGCTCATAGTCCTGGTAGGCTGAACTCCATAGACTAATGCCCGGTCTAATGAGTCACAAATTATCCCCGATAGCTCCAGGAAGCCGAAGGGGCTCCCCACAGAAAAGAAATCTACAACTACTTCCTGAAAGAAACTAACGAGCAACTTGGGAAAAAAACCTGAAGCTGGAACCACAGGTAGCAAGACCATAACACCTGCCACTGAAGCCAGAACCACAGGTAGCAAGACCATAACACCTGCCACTGAAGCCAGAACCACAGGTAGCAAGACCATAACACCTGCCACTGAAGCCAGAACCACAGGTAGCAAGACCAAAACACCTGCCACTGAAGCCAAAACCACAGGTAGCAAGACCATAACACCTGCCACTGAAGCCGGAACCACAGGTAGCAAGACCATAACACCTGCCACTGAAGCCGAAACCACAGGTAGCAAGACCATAAAATTTTTACACACCTTTCAACCTTTCTGCTGCACTCTGAGCCAAATTTCTTCTATTGCAGTTCCCAGCCTTCACTGCTGGCTCAATCCTGAAAATACCAAATTTAATGTTTACATAATTTTAATACATAATCTTCTATCATAAATATTATGCAGTGGCTTTTATTTCAATCAGAAATTGAAGCAGTTATTTATTGTGTCATTTACTGTACACCCAATACATTAATTATGTATGAATCTGAAACCTAATAAGTAAATAACAAATGACCAGTTTAAGTTGAAGCACTAACCTCTCCTAAACAGGCATAATAAACAATTTCTAAAATTGTAAATATTTTCAGGTCCCAGATACCCAATCCCTCCCCCCTGTAATATAAATAACACTGTTATTATATATATATATATATATATATATATATATATATATATATATATATATATATATATATATATATATATATATATATATATATATGTCGTACCTAGTAGCCAGAACGCACTTCTCAGCCTACTATGCAAGGCCCGATTTGCCTAATAGGCTAAGTTTTCCTGAATTAATATATTTTCTCTGATTTTTTTCTTATGAAATGATAAAGCTACCCATTTCATTATGTATGAGGTCAATTTTTTTTTATTGGAGTTAAAATTAACGTAGATATATGACCGAACCTAACCAACCCTACCTAACCTAACCTAACCTATCTCTATAGGTTAGGTTAGGTTAGGTAACCGAAAAGGTTAGGTTAGGTTAGGTTAGGTAGTCGAAAAACAATTAATTCATGAAAACTTGGCTTATTAGGCAAATTGGGCCTTGCATAGTAGGCTGAGAAGTGAGTTCTGGCTACTAGGTACGACATATATATATATATATATATATATATATATATATATATATATATATATATATATATATATATATATATATGTATGTATGTATGTATGTATGTATGTATGTATGTATGTATGTATGTATGTGTGTATGTGCGCGCGTGCGCGGAAAAACAACATGTGAAAAATAGAGAAGGCTAAATGCATTTTTGGCTTAAATCACCATCAGAGCAAAGTAGTACCTTCATTCTACTTTGCTCTGATGAAGGCGATATAAGCCGAAAACACATTTAGCATTCTTTATTTTTTCACATGTGGTTTTTCTGCATATATATATATATATACACACACACACACACACACGTGTATGTTTTCAATACCATACTGTAAAATACTTACTTTGTTAATACAATATTTTGAAAATCACTACATTATCATCACACTCATTATTTCTTGGTGTATGCCATGGTTGTACCTTCTCCAATATTAAAAAATATATGTATTTCATTAAACATGAAATTATAGCTACAAAATACACACACACAAAAAAAAAATCACTGTACACACAATACATGGTCAATAAACTAATTCCAAGAATAAAACTTCAATTATCTTTATTACTGGAAAAAACACAAGGTTTATATAAGTTTATATTCAAACAAGGCTGGAGCAACCCAAGTACAATTAAAAATGTGTGACTAGATCAGTAATGATGAGCCTTAATGGTACTGTAATAAATATTACATCCTGGATAAAAAAAAGGTAACAACAATAATAATTAACAGCGATACCATATCTCATAAATATTCCCAAAACTCTGAAGAATTTTCCTGTTGTTATTTAAGTTTTTACGTAAATTTAAAATGTATAGTCTTTGCTGCTAGTAGCAAAACTCATTTAAACAAAAATTATAAATCACCAGGGAGGAAAATTAAAGTTGATTATATATATATATATATATATATATATATATATATATATATATATATATATATATATATATATATATATATATATATATATACATATATATATAAACATATACTAACCTTTTAAGTATAAATTACCATCGTAAAATGTTTTCCAAATTGTGTATAGGTATCACTATTTCTAGCAACAACAATTAACATTTTCAATAACTATATACAAATTATTGTATCTCACCCAAAAAATGAATGCCATATAAATTCCCATTGCAATTACATTTACAGACATAAGTAATATAAAGTAGGAAACATTACTCAACGGCTCATACCTCAACAAAAGTCTTCGGAGCCATGAACTTACTACCGTTTATCCTAGCTATGTGTTTCATGCTTTCTTATAAATACAATATTTCAACTTTATTTTAGGAATATTGACTGGCTAAACAACAATGTTTGATGAAATTTTTGTATTACACAATGATGTGTTCTAATATACTGGCTTCAATTTATCTAGTGTACAGTAATAATTATCTTTCATTATAAACATTTTCAAAATATGACGAAGTACTTTGTATGTGTAATGTACAAGTTTTATACAATGATATTTACAAACCTTAAAAGTCACACTCAAGCAAATTTGATTAGACAAGGCATATGGCTCTGGGACATTTGCTACACTGTCGCTCTTCCTATGCTTCTCTTCTAGACTTAAGAGTCGACATTTATTTTTGGTCTGTATTTGAGTATAGAAATTAAGGGACAAAGCATTACTTTAGTCCACATTTGTGCTCTAGGACAACCCTGTTTATATTGTACTTGCTAAAACAATGTTAAAATGTAGTAATCTGCATAAAAGAAATGACCATATGATAATGTATTCTTGTTATAATATCAATATATATATACGGTATACTGTACTACTCTTTAAAAACAAAATTGCAAATTATATTAGCAGACCAAGTTCTTAGTGGTTTATGCAATAACATCACTAACATACAAATAAGTAATAAAAATTACATAATTCTTTACATGGGAGATTTAACATAAGTGATATATCAAAGCAAGAATATCTTTTCCCCTCATGATATGCCTGACATGAGGTGTAGCAAAGTCTCTTCACTTGCACCAAATGTAATGTAAATAAACTCTGGGCCACTAAATTGTATGCTAAGACAGGAAAATAATCTTTATTACTGTCTCATTTCAGACTCACAACTCCTCATCTCATCACAGGCATGAATAAAGACAAGATTGGGTTGCAGCTCATCTACAGGTGAGAAGGAATATGGTCTGAGGGATATTCAATGCTACAGTTTCATTCATACCAATAGCGACAATTAACACTTAAATAGGTTCTTAACAAAACTACTCTAGTGTACATACAGAATATTCTTTGAGCTAATGGCTCTTCACCACAGGCTTCATCATAATTAATAACTAAGCACTTATCATCCAAAGAATGCCAGGCTGAAGACATTCTTTAACCCTTAAACTGCTAAGCTATTTAAAAGTCCTACATCCAGGTGCGCATTGAAAAAAGTATTGAAAACCCATAAGGATAAATCGCATTTGGCGATTTGCGCACGGGAGGAAATCGCACATGGCGATTGCAGCAGTGTAAGGGTTTAAACTCTCGTGATGATGGCAATAAGCCGTATCAGTCCTGTGGAGAGATCAGCACTTGTAAACCTTGTATGACTTTATTATCTCATAGTACCATTTTACTGAAAAAATTACATGTGTAGCTATACAATATATAACACCCAAGCCACTGATCTCAACACTGGCTTAACTCCTGCAGATTTCTATATGAAAGTCAGGGTAAAAGTGTTACAAGCATGGCACAATCCCTTATCCTACTATGATATTTACAGGTATTACCGTTTGTGCAGATTGTCTACCAGACGTTGAGCCAAGCAAAGCAAAATAAACAAATATAACTTCATTACTTGGACATGAATCTCTGTCTGCCATTATAACTAATATAAAAGAACACTAGATTGAGCTCTATAGAAGCCAAATCTTGAAATAAAAAATTATACAAATTAAACTGGAATAAAAAAGGCAACACTACATATTGTCCATGCAAAGATTTGTATAAAATTAATTTCTGAATTAATGTGTTACTATGAAGCACAGAAAGAAAATGATTTCATAATTGACATAAATAAGACTACAGTATCGTCCACCTTGATACCCAAGCTTTCTCTATGGCAATGTCTTAGGTCATATCAACCATATATTTCTGGGGTCACATTCACAAGACACAGATTGAGATGCTCTCTCACACAAGAACAACTATATCACAGAAGGGTGGGGAGTTGGTGTTAAATCAGTCTTCAGCAAGGAACAAAGGTTGTGCACGACAGTATTAGATAAACCTATCCGTGAAGAACATGTGATTCTTTATATGCCACTTATTCTACAATTTGGATTGGATAAAATAAATGTCATTCAAAAGAAAAAGGAATGTGAGAAAATTGGTTAAAAATAGGATAAAATTGGATAAAAAATCTCTAAGAGAAAGAGGAATGTAAGAAAATTTGTAAGGAATGGGTATTCACTGTAGCAAACATATAAGAGACAAAATGAAATTAAAGCATTGGGCTTAATACACACACTTTAGTTTTGTCTGTAATGAGTGCACAAAAGTGAGGAGAGACGCACAGCTTCCCAACACTACACGCAAACTGTCTAATGTCCTGGAATGCTTGCATTATGGTCATCTCTAAGAGACCTTCACAGAAACCACCCAAATTTGATAACTCCATAAGAAAAAATGTAATAAAATTTAATAATAATAATGTAAAATTTGTATTATACTGAATATAAAATGCTATACGTCATATGACAACCTAATTTTTGAGTATTTAGTTTTCTCCGTTTTTATCGTTTAAATATTCGTTATATTATTCAGCAGTCTTGTAATTTATTTAAAATAATTTTACTTTTCTAATCATAATAACCCAAATGCTAATAATGTCTCCTTAACATTACATTTACATAGCTCTTAAAATAAATTCAAAACAACACAAAAATTAACAATACAGTACTACTGTAGTCTTGTACCAGTTTCAGTCTTATGAATAAATCAATTTTGATTACACAGTACTGTACTGTACAGACAAGCTTTATTGATTTAATTAAAAAAAATCAATACTGTATGTGATTACACAGTTTATATATAGGGAATAAATCATCAGAGAGTGCCTCTTTATTATATCTAAGACTAATAAAGATTAATCTTAAGCCTGCTTTAGTGTTTAAAATAACCTAACTGAATATTATACACATATAATGTAAATTTTAATTCTCGATAAAATAAGTTAAAAATATTTGTCAAGATTTGATATTATATATATATATATAGCCTATATATATATATATATATATATATATATATATATATATATATATATATATATATATATATATATATATATATACTAGAGAAAATATATATATATATATAGTATAATATATATATATATTTTTTTTTTCTATGTGTATTTTT